TCCTTCTGCTAGCTGTGAACCCTAGCTGCCCCCCCCATTCCACTCCAACTGTCCCCTCCCCCTCTGCTGGACCTCATTATCTCAGGTCTTCAAGCAGGTCCAGCTCTTTGGAAACAAATATTACAGTAATTGCTTGTAACTGTTATTTCCAGCCATGAAATGATCTTTCCCGCTTGGGCATACCTCCATCTGGTAGTGGCTGGTCCAAGAGAAAGAACTTATATCCACCAGGGGCTTCCACGCTGTAGAGTCCATCAGACACAGGGAGCAAGGGCCAGTTCTTACTACGCGCATTCTCCACAGCCTTGTTGGACTGTATGGTGATACCCTGACAGCATGCGGGAAATTTAAAAGAAAGTTCAAGACAAAATTAAACTACGAAATGGTTAATAACAATGTAAAAACTATACCACAGTCTGCCTGATTAAAGTATGTTACATGTCGTAAGTCCATTCTTTCTAAAAAAAAAACCAGTTGACATCAAAACCTGGGCTGGTCAAGGATGAGACACATGTAAGGGAGGAAAGTTATTTCTTATCCCCTGAAAAACTGCACTTGTTAGGCTTACCCCTTTCCTTAGCTTTACTCCCCCTCCAAGTTTCGGGGGGGGGGGGAGAATAGGCACCAATTTTTATGTGAGGCCAAATAATATGACAATTTTTTAAAGAGTAATATGTATGGGTATTTGACGTGCACGGCTAAATTTTGGGGCAATTTACACACTCTGGGAACAAATCTAACTGTTGTCTTTCTCTCTAGTTACATTTCAAACACAAAAAAAACCGGTTTTTTTGTAAGGGACACATGGCCTGGTTTGGTCCCCCTACTCCATGTGAGATGCATGTTACAGTCATATGTTACAATGACTGTTACAAATTTCCGAGGATTACCATCTGTGGTTTTTCCTTCCATGTTTTTGCTCTCCTGTTGTCCCCAAATAATGTTCCATATTCAAGAGCCCTCTTCTCATTGACTCCGTGAGAAGTTAATAAAAAAATGATGTACCTGAAAATCATTGCCCAGCCTGTAGTCTTTGATGCCGTAGTTGTAAGTCAGCTCTGTCACAAAATGGCCGTCCTCCGGCCCATAGCCCACCATTGACTTACTCCACTTGCCGTCGTATGGCCTCAACAGCAAAATAAATATAATTATGACAGACAATATCAGGCAGGAGCTGGAGAGTTCAAAGTACAAACTAATAATAACGATGACTCTTATTTGGAACAAAAGTTAATGAAAATGAAAGGTGATGAATACAGGGTGAAAAACGAGATTTGAAGCTTTGTATGGCAGAGTCTTCGTTTCAATATCAGTAATATCACATGCAGATATAATAATTTCGCAGGAAGAAAACCAACTCTAATATGGAATTAAATAATTTATATTGTCTTATGATAACAACCGAGGAGACAAATGTAGAATTGGAGAGAGTTCTGTATCTGACCCCCATTGATTCTCAAGTTGAATAGATACCAACAAGTTTTCAATGTGACCTAAACTGGCTTTTCCTCGGACAGCTTCAGTTTTTCCAAGTTAAACGGACTTGTCTTCAATGAAACAGAAAAGGTGAGGTGGCAAGTACATGTATGCCACTATATCCGCATATGGAACCCTTGCATTTGTGGAAATCACATTTTGAATGGAGATGACATCACAGATAAAAATACTGACATATACTTACCCATTACATGTAGCCTTGCATCCTTCTTCAAATTCTTCATGTCTCAAAAACTAACCAACAAATGCACAAAATGATTACAATTTTGGAGTATAGCCACAATCTATAAGTATATACACAAGTATTTACAACTTTTTCAAAGGCACTGCACAATACCACTCATGCTATGTCTTTTTAAAATGAGAAAATAATGACAAAATAAAAATTGAGTTATTTTTTTTTTGGTTCCTTGTTCCCTCCATGCCCTCCCTGCACTGCCATGACAGCAAGCCAAACCTTATGTTTTGGGGACCTCTCTAAAACTATGGGGCTCCTCGGAATCAAGAGCGGGAAATTTGGCTTCAGTGTTCAAATAGAAATTGCTCCTGTAATACAAAATATCCGGGGCCTTTACCAAATAACAGGCTCAGACAGTTGATGATTACCTAATCAAGGTGAGGCAACTAAACTGATCAGCCCCACGAGCATGTGGACTGGATACTAGCCTTGCTGTATCCTTGCGAGGCGAGTATCCAGGCCACACTCGTCACGGGGCATGGTAAATGTAGAACAAAAAAATGGATATGGAGCTATTACGAGTCTCAGCAAAGTCTGGACCGCTGTAATTTGGCAGTGGTAGGCTACCACAATGTAACACTATGAAATTATGTCACGCGTATATGGACGAGCATGACATTGCAAACTCACGCACAGTCCGGTAAAAGACCTGATCGACCAGGCCACTGTTCAAAATCTGCAAAATTACCTGCATTCCAAGCACTTCCCGGTAGAACTCAGCAGTTTTTGTTCTATCGCCGACCTTAAAAACGAAGTGCAATGCTCGGCGAGATGCCATGGTTTCTGTAACTTTTTAAGTGAAAGAACCAGATAAATTTCGAAAATACCTCGTCCCTCAATGCAATTTCACGCCTGCGATCATTATTATGTATGTGGTGTTCACGTGCCTCATCAGGTGTTCGTTTACGACGACTGTTTATCCACAAATATTTATCAAGCAGAAAACAGTTAGTTACTAGAAATGAATTTAAAGATATCTCGCCAAATGGTGGCGCTATTGATAAACTAGGCACGTGTAGGATTTCAAAATGGCGACTTCCATGGATTTGTTCCGGAAACTTGGCACAGGCTTGAAGTTTGATTTGAAGCGTTTTAAAAGTGATGCCGAAAAATTTCAGGTAGTAAATTGAAATGATAAAGAAACAAGTAATATGTATGCACTTTACATCTGGTGGACATTATTCAATTGAAAAAAAAATTGAGTGAACTAGTATTAGTAATAAACATCATGGGTGGACATGTTTAACAGTTGAAGGCTGAGCATTCTAGGGCTAGACCCAGAATATGCAGAAATATGCATGCTTGAAGTACATGTACTAAAATACTACTATCATGCAATCATCGTTGTATCTTAAGCATGTTAAAAATGCTTACACTTACAATTTATTTGTATTAATAATTAATAGACCCCCTGTGTATGACATCACAATAGAGGGCGTTTCTTTTGTCCTCTAGGATAAGCTCGATTGAACCGTTGGTGCATTCATTGTCATCAAATGTAAATAACTAAACATGTCTGGGATGGCGCTCTGCTATCGCTTAATCTGCAAGATTGATTGTTCATGATCTGTCTTCGTTGGTCTTTCTGCCGTTACTGCAATTAACAGTTAATTTTTTAATGTGTAACTGGTGAGCTTAGAACTGCAGACGTCCTTGTTCCTCTTGTGGAGAGATAGAAGTAGTTTTAGGGTCATGAGGGTTATAAAAACCAGCAAATTATTCACTTTGTTTTCCAAACTTGAAAATGTATCATAAAGAACATGTTTCATGATTCTGAAATCAATGGCCTGTTTTTGTGCATAGTTTAACTTTTAGATAACACCTAAGCAGTTTTCATGCCTTCATCCCTTAGTAGATCTCATGCATAAAGCTTTTATCTCAGGTAAGGATTTCATGCATAATTAATTTATTTATATTGATATTACCTTGTCTGTGATACCAGATTGTAAAAGCAAACCCAAAAAGGGCCTCCAAGCAGGAGCTGGAGAGAGCTTTGGACATTTTTGGCTCCACAAATTTCTCATCCAGACCAGCGAAAGATGGACGCAGCACGGATGCACCTGTGCCCATTCCTACTCCCAAACAAACAGAGGCGGAAGGGAGTAAACGCAAGTTGGAGGAGGGGCTCTCGGCATCCAAGAGAAGGAAGAGTAAGAAGAGGAAACATGAGGAGGAGGCGGGGATGGACGAGATGTCGGAGAATGGAGGAGGGATGCAGCTGATGACATCCTTGCATTTTGACAATAAAAGGGAGGACAACAGGAAGTTGCCGGCAGAAAAGGTGGCACAGAGGAGGCGAGAAGACGTACGTTAGATAGCTGGAAAAAAAGAAATTCAAAACATGAAAACAGCAAACTATGAACTTACACGGCTTATTTAAAGGCTTGTTCTCTGTAATAACTTGACATTTAGAGAAATTTCAGGAAATTTTCCCAGTTCTAAATCAGGATTGGACATTTTTGAAGGAGTTCTTAATCTTCCAATGGAAGGGAGTTGCCTTAATAATTTGTATACCAATGCCAGATGAAGTTGGAATGGATACTCAGTTAGTACAATCTTGACAAAACAGAAATATATATTCTTCATTTTAGAACTGTAACCAGCAAACATGTGAGTTTCCCACCAAACTGTGTGCAAAAATGAAAGAAAAATGAAAGAAAGTACATGGACTTGTTCCCTGTCCTGTGATTTCAAGATGCACAATAGTTTTGAACAATTGTAACTCACCTGGAATTGTAACAGCAGCTAATTGCACATTCATTTCCAGGTCAATGCATTTAGACGGCAGCACAAGATTCATGTTTGGGGCACAGACATTCCCGATCCAGTGGGGACATTCCAGGAACTGCAGACTGAATACAGCCTGCACTCAGACATCATCGAGAACATCCACCGAGCCGGCTTCGTAGAACCAACACAGATTCAGATGCAAGCGATACCGGTCATGCTACATGTAAAGAATTGTCCTCTTGGTGTTTACCAGCTAAAAGAGCATTTCACCATTCTGAACATTCCTCTTGCAGTTATAGCGCTTAGTTTGAAGCATAGCATGGTCCCTCCAGGAACAAATTAGGTCACTGCAGGGTTTTGCCAAGTTAGTGCGCATTTATTTAGGAATAGCAGGTATATGACCACATTTCAACAACAAAAAATCAGGTCTCCTGAGTTCAGAAATTTCAGTATTCTCCTCTCATTAAAATGTATATCAAGCTAAGTGTTGCCTCAAAAGTTGCACCATAATGCCACGTATGACTAGTTTGAAACGAAAGGCATTGACCAAATATCAACGTGAACTTTAACATATGCAACTTGTTCTCAAATCTATTTGAAGTAGGAATCCACGGAGAGTGAACAGTAACCTTTATTATATTGTATATCTTTTGACCCCAACAAAATCACTTTTCTCATGCTTATAACAAAGCTTCACCAAACATTTAAACTGCATAATGTGGGTGAAAACGACACGACAACCTGCTCAGCTCTGGCAATGTTAAAGCTCCTTGGCACTTTTCTGATCGGCATCAATTGTCTTTTGGTTCAGAGGCGAGAGCTACTTGCCTGCGCACCCACCGGGTCCGGCAAGACTGCAGCCTTTATTCTTCCAATCCTTGCCCATTTGAAGGTCAGTAGAGGTTGTTTTCAATTTTCAGTGAAACTAGGCTCCTGACCATTGACGTCAGAAATGGGATTCAGATTGTGGGCCTGGTTGCCACGGGTGCTCTGACAAATTATTCAGTAACACTTCAGAAAACAGAAAATTTTTTGAAAGCGAAATTTATCAGAGAATTTTAGAATAACAATGAGGCCACGTGGAAAGCCAACAACAGACTTTTGGGAGAGTTATATTTCTTGGATGAGTTCACGTATTTTACAAGCCATATATACACAGAAAATGGACTAGGAGAAGTATATTTTGGACCTGCAGGAGCCAAGAAAGAAGGGATTCCGAGCTATAGTGGTCTCACCAACTCGGGAGCTGGCCAGCCAGACCTACCGCGAGTTCCAGCGACTAGCCGAGGGACGAGGTCTGCGGATCCACCTCATCGAGAGCACAGCAAAAGCTGCCAAGAAATTCAGTCCCGAGGCTTCCCAAAAGTTTGGTGAGTTCATGCCACCACCAGTTAAATTCTTTGGTTCTTCTAGATGCGGGACCTGACCTACTTCACTTACTCTCCAAGTGACCACAGTTTGAATCCTGTTAGCTGCTCCCTGTAGAGTGGGTTATTACTACTTGTCATCTTCTTAATCTCCAAGATAAGTTTTCTATGCCATGTTTTTCGTGCTCCATGAAGGTGATATTTCCTTCATTATCTCATCTCAGTGGATTGTTGGCTTTGGTAAAGTACAGTGATTACCATTCGGCTAGGTCTAAAAGTTGTGACTGTGGCTGAAAATAATACATGTGCCTATGGGAAGCCACTGGCTAGCGGCTTCAAGCACTTCCTGTTGTGCCTACTACCTCCTTGCCGCAGCCTGTTGATTTGGATAAAGCATTGCTCTGTCAGTCTGGCTCTGACACCTTAATATGTGAGAGCTCTTGTTCCTGGTTGAGTTGAAATGTCCTGTCATTATCTTGGCAATGTAACAAGTACAGCAGCCAGCTTTTGAGCCCCAGGGTGGGTGCAAAACTGGGAATTTTTTCTGAACTGATTGTTCATTTTTTTAATGCTAAAAAACTCTCCTCCAAAGGAAGGCGCCGTAGTTTTATTAACTTTTTCAAGTCAAAGTAAAAGAAAGCCAAGTTCATAAAAAAAGGAAGCATGTCCCCAGGGGCAACTCCCCTCCCCCAAGTGGATGCCCCACTTAACCACTCCGTGCCGGGGTACCCGGTTTCGGGCACATAGGCTTTATACACGAAGCCAGGGAGCCCAAAGTCGGACAAAAGAGCTGGGCTTTGTAACAAAAGATCGTACTTGGAACAAAAGACTGAGCTGCTGGGAATTGCCAACATTTTTTCAGTTGTCAATAGCGGAGGAAATCCATCATTGTTTTGAAAGATTATACCACTGTTTGTGGCATTCAGCGCAAGCAGATTACCACCAGGGACAAAAGTGCTCCAGTGATGAGCGATACAATACCGCTGCATGCTAATCTGTTCCACATTTGAAAAGACACCAGCTGCGCACTGTGCCAGTTTGGGGAACAAAAGAAAATTACATAACACTGCACAATCTGGGCTCTTTTTACAAGGCGGCAGGCCTGGCTAAAATACTTGGGCATCAATAGATGTTGTCTGTCAGATTAGAGTAGCCACCAGACAGTCATTCGTGTAGGTGTAAATGTCCAGTGAATGAAATTGTCAATTTTTAAAGAATTTTGAAAACAAAATAAAATGAAAAGTCACCCGGCCCAGCAGAATCAACATGGTAAATGGACTCGGCACAAAGTAGTTCATGTTGCACTTCTTCAGAAAGCCACACCACAGTACACTGTAAACAAAGTGTGTTTACGCCTGAACAAAAAGAATTTTTCTGGAGCAACTCACCAGAAGCAGGTGCTTGGTTCTGGCATATATGAGGCACCAGTCATTTCAAAAACACATAGGTTCTTCGTGTAGGTGCTCGACATTGAATTGTCACTTAAGCCTTTCCAATACTCACCATGCGAGGGGGCACTTTTGCATGGAGCAGATAGCCTAATATGCTGCCGAGGTCCTTGCCATGGAGCCAATGTGTAACGTAACAGAACTAATGCTCAAGGGATCATTTCAATAAAGAGATATTCTAAAGCCTAAACCACATTATTTCCTGTAGACATCCTCGTCACAACACCCAACAGACTAGTATATCTACTGAAGCAGGAACCCCCAGGAATCAAGCTCAACAGGTGAGTTACTACTTTTTTAACATTTAAAGAATTTACAATTTTGTTTCAGCCATTAGTAAATTTTTTGTCAACTACCGTTTCAAGGTTGCTGGCTTGGTGTTCCAAATTTGTGTTACGGATCTATATCTGCAAAGGGTGCATCTACATCATTAATGTTTTGTGTTGGTGAAGTTCTAGTGGAGGGTTTAAATCTGAACTGCAACCCTCACACCGATGTGTCCTTGAGCTGTTTAGTTGACGCTAGCACTTCCTATTTGTGTTAAGTTTCACTTGGTATCTGCACTTCATGCTAAAATAGTTCCAACCAGTTCCTCTCTGTGATATACTTATAATTTGTTTTCTTAGCGTGGAGTGGCTAATCGTCGATGAATCAGATAAGCTGTTTGAGGAAGGCAAGACGGGGTTCAGGGACCAGCTTGCGACGATCTACCAGGCTTGCGACTCCACGCACGTGCGGCGTGCCATGTTCAGCGCAACGTTCACCCACGATGTCGAGCAGTGGTGCAAACTGAACCTAGACAGCGTTGTCATGGTAACGGTTGGACAGAGGTTGGTATTGAATTGTTTGCTTTGTTCTTTAATTTCAATGGAACTCAAGGGATTTTTGAAAACCTTTAAAACTGTGTACATGCAAAGAATCAGGAAACCTATTTATTGGCAAAGGACATAGCATTCTGTCCGAAATGTTGAGTACCCACCAGTTCTTTTGAGAACCACTCGTACTCAAAAAGAGATATTTCGCATGGTGCTACCGCAAACTTGCAACCTTCACCATGAAAGCTTCAAAGCTCACCATTTACTGTATTTTAGAAAATCAGATCCCATTCAAAATATCTGTTTTGTCTACTTGTGTATTCCGGAAATCTCAGGATTTATTGCTTTAAGTCATTTCTAACGGTGCTTTGAGTGTGTTTTATGGTTTTGATTTCAGAAATACAGCCACAGAACTCATTCAGCAAGAGATGGTATTCGTTGGTGGAGAATATGGCAAACTCCTTGCAGTCAGAGAAATTTTCAGAAAAGTGAGCGACTTCATCAGTTTTCTCCCTGACTTTCTGATTTTATCTGGTCTCCCTATCTCCTACATTTCCTTTCATGCAATTTTGTCCCGTGAAAGCAATCATAGTCACCAGAAGACATTTTCTGAGAAACACGAACATCTGATGCTTTTGAAAAGTGCGCTGGAAATACTGAAGCTAGAGTTTACCCTCCAAGACTGGTACCTACCACCTCTGTCCAATGTCTCTCTTTCTTCATTTGAAACCTGCCTTGGCTGATGTGCATTGATTTCCACATAATAGTTGATAAATAAACACACAGAGCACAGGTCCAATCCATTACTGGAGAGATGATGATAAATTGACAGTAGCCTAAATGGTCTTCTTTCCGTCAATCCCCATGAATCCCTAGCAGTAATAAGACAGATCAGAGGAAGAAAGAGACCCAAGCTGCTGTTAAATCATCATTGCCTCCTACTTGTCAAACCCGTACGCTACAACCAGAACAGATACAGATCTGTGCTTTTGATAGGGCACATGGACCAGTGAGTGTGGAGTGCTGTAGCCTTGTAGTTCAGAGCATCGAATTCGTAGTTCACGGGTAAAGCCACAGGTTGCAGGTTCGAATCCAGCCTGGGGTCATGGTGTGTGTGCCTTTGGGCAAGGCACTTTGTCACTCATCGCCTCTCTCTCCACCCAGGAGTAATTGGGTACCTTTGAGGGCAGAGATGGTTATTGTGATTGATTTAGCCACTTTACGCCAAAATGGCAGCATTGAGCTGTATACTCCCCAGGGAGCTGAGATGGTATTTGGAATGTTTCATAGGCCCAGTGAGCAGGGGTACTAACAATGGAATTGTGCCTTGATCGCTTTTCCGGATAAGTGTGCTATATAAATCTTTATTATTATTAAACCTGTCCCCTTCCGTCCCCAGTTCTTCGGGTAATTGTGCCGAGCTGGCACTTTAACTTTCAAGTGCAGCCTTGTAGAGTTGTATTTATCCAAAGTGTTGGTTGTTGCTGCGTCATTTGTGCAGGGTTTCCAGCCACCCGTTCTCATCTTTGTGCAATCCAAGGAACGCGCCAAGGAGTTATTTCAGGAGCTGATCTACGACGGTTACAATGTCGACGTCATCCATGCCGACAAGACACAGACACAGGTGTGTTGTCTTTGTATTTGTCTGATAATCTTTGGGTATTTTCAGCATTCACAGGTGGATGTGTTTGTTGAAAATGCCATCATGTGACCTAGGCCTGCATTAGACAATTTCGAATACTTCGGGTTATGACCAATGGCTTTGTCTTGCATGTATTACTTTGGTTTAAATATATGTTTTTCAGTCACAAAAATATGATTTATCTGAAAACTTGACTCAGTTTCAGGAATGAAGGATTCATGTATGTCAAGTTGCCGAGTTTTTCTCAGAGGTGTGTGTATTTCACAAGAGTGATCTGCAATGAAATCAAATCTCATTGAGTCAAATCTCTCAGGAAAGAATAAGAGCTAAGAGGTACCTGCAGTTTGAGATTTGAGTTATTCGAGTTTGACTTGACGATATTGCACTGCACATTCAGAGTGGTATTGCAAACATTCTGTCCACCGCAAAGTGTTAACGTTTAGATTTCATGTTTTCCGATTTCACAGCGTGATAACATTGTCAAGTGTTTTCGCTCGGGTAAAATTTGGGTCCTGATTGCAACTGAGCTGATGGGGAGAGGCATCGATTTCAAAGGCATCAACCTTGTCATCAACTATGACTTTCCGACATCGGCCATCAGCTACATCCATCGGATCGGTCGGACAGGGCGAGCAGGGAGACAAGGAAAGGCAGTCACTTTCTTCACCGAGGATGACACAGTACATCTTAGAAGGTTTGTCTGTCTGTCTGTTGGGCCGTCTGTTTGTCTGTGTGGTTGGAGGTAGCATTACCTTTCTTCAACTGTCGTTATCCACTGCTCTGTCTTCTGGTCACGTAGCATGATGATACATTGTACCTCTAAACATTTGCCTGTCTGTCTGTTGTGCTTTCTGTTTCTCCTTGTGTCCTAAGTTTGCATTACCAGTCTTAAACTCTCTCTATCCAGCAAGTTTTGTGTCCATGTTACTCCTTGATAATCTTTCCACGATCCTCTGCAATGCCTTGTCGCACTTCTGACTTGATGCATTGGAGTCCAGATGGCTTCCATTGAACTAACCGATGTTTTTCCAAACCTTGACCTCATTTCTGTCCTCAGCTCTTGGCTGTAATTTTCTCAATTTATTCCCCAAAGTTAAGACCCTGTGGTCAGCGCAGCTCTCTCCCCTGCTACAAGAACATGAAATTGTCGAAGTCATGAAATTGTTGAAGTCATGAAATTGTTGAAGTCATGAAATTGTTGCATTGGTCGAAGTTTTGGAGTGTTTCCACCATTGAAGTTGTAAAGCAAACTCCAAGACTTGAAAAGTCGCCACATCTGGACAAATAGAACATCACACTTTTCTTGCCACAAACTTAACACCTCTGTGATTGTTTGACGGCATTCAGAAGAGTTTGTCTATTTTTTTTACTTGCGACCTGGACAGTATAGCCAATGTGATGCGGAACGCAGGTTGCCCCGTGCCAGACTACATGCTCCAACTTAAGAAACTTACCAAGTAAGTCACCTCAAAGCACTGCTCTTTCTTGCTTCACCGGCAGAATTCAGAAACGTTTTCCACAACGCAGTACTTATAAATGCTGTTTGAATTCATTTAGAGCTGTTAGTGCTGGACTCTTTGATTTCAAAATTCACTCTTGCTTTTCAAGATTGTGTGGCTCTGTTACTGATATGGCACACCTGGTCAAAAGTTGACACGCCGCAGAGACCTTAGTCAAGTTTCATTGATGACTGTAGTGATACATATATTTTACCAACCAATTTTTGTCCAAACGCCTCATCCATGGAGACCATTTAGGAGACCTGTGGTTAGTCGGCCAGATGTGAAATGGGCTGCGGCTATGTCTGTAGTCAGTCTGTGCCTGCATATTTGCAATTGGTAAAAACCTAGACCTAGCTCTAGACACAAGGATCAAACAGAGGCTAACTCAGTCATAGCAACCACTGAGATCTTTTCATACTGAAGCAAGTGCCCTTTGAAAGTATGGAATGTCCTGTGTCATTTAGGAATTTATGGGTTTTTTTTCATTTACTCAGGGTGAAAAGAAAGAAGCTTGAGAAGAAGCCTGTAAAGCGAGACACCGTCAGGACACTGCCAAAGCAAGACCTTGACAAAGCCAAAAGGAAGAAGTGAGGTTTATTTGTCTACAATTTACTTTTCTCCTGTGATGTCCACAGTTTACTTTTGTCTTGTGATGTCCACAGTCTGCTTTTCTCTTGTGATGTCCA